AAAAAATAATAATATATAAAGATAAATAACATTTTTTATAGCGCATATAAACGCTCTACAGCAAGCTCTATGCTCTTAACACTATATTCAGGCAGACACAAATGATGACCTATCCTGTCTCCCTTTCCTCATGGACTTACCAAAGTAACATTATTTAAAACAATATCATTCATTTCGTATAATATTACTTTGGTAAAAGTAAGCCCATGAGGGAAGGGAGACAGAACAGATCATCATTCGTGTCTGCCTGAATAATGGTTGTGTTAAGAGAAAAGATACTGCAGGGTCTTTGAAATACCACAATGGCATCTTCATGTCACGTACCATGCAATGACATTGTTTTTTCGAATATTTCTTTAGTAACTTTTTTTTGGTAAGTGTTTTACGGAGCTCGCAACTGCATAAGGTCATATGAATACGCGGGACAAATTAAACATTTTCAGTTGGTAGGAAATTTTGAATTTTGCCCGGGGTGGTGGCCGAAGCCTAGTCTTATCGATTTTTGGACCACATAGGGATCTTTAACGTGAACAACTTGCTCACGGGGCCTTCGAGATTTTTTGCCTTGTCCGAGAAGGCTAGGTGTAGATCTTTCCAATTCATTAAATCAGGGGTGTGGCTGAAAGACAGCAGTAAGAAGGAGCCAAGGGTGCAGAAAGAGTCAGTAGACCAGAGGAGGGGGCAAAAGAGATGAGAGGGTGGTGTGTCCCACGCGCTCAAATGACCTTATATTCAGTTGCCAGCGCCGTAAAGCACTTACAAAAAAAGGTTTAACGCCCTTATCAACACTATTATCATAATTATGAGGTGGGATCTCCAAGTTTAATGTTCATCTCCAAAAGGACCAAGCCAAGTGAGATTGGCTCACAGAACACCACAAGACTAAATAAACACTGGAAGCAAAGCAAAACCAAACTCATACACCACCGCCACCACCAACAACAACAATAATAACAACAATAACAACAACCTTAACAACAACAGCAACAACAACAACAACAACAACAACAACAATAACAGCGACCATAACAACAACAACATAATGCAATAGTACCCCCAACTTAGGAAATAACAAAAACAAAACCAAAGAAAAACCACCAACAAATCAAATTACAAATCAAAACGCCCACACAAAAAACAACAAAATAACAACAATAACAACAACAACAACAGCAACGAAAGCACCAACCTCAAAGCTCTCCTCAGAAGTAATATCGTAGACGAGCAGGTACGCCGTGGCGTTCCGTAGACCATAGCCCCGGAAATCTGTCCACTCATACAGCGAGTTCACAGGGAAGTACGGGATGTAGGGGCAGTCGATAATGCGGACCTGGATGGGACAAGAAGTGTTTAAAACGATATATTCAAATTTATTTATAATTAATTTCTTACTCTAATTTTTATTTTACCGTGTTAGGGCTCATTGGTACAGCAGGTAACGGGTGTAGGGGCAATTGCTAATTAAGACCTGGATGGGACAATAATTTATTCGAATTTTTAAATTAATTAATTAATTGATTAATTAATTAATTAATTAATTAATGTATTTCTTTCTTTCTTTCTTCTTTCTTTCTTTCGTGATATTTATTTACTTATTTATTTATTCACTTATTCATTTGTTCATTCGCTTAGCTATTCATTTATTTATTCGTTTATTCGTTTATTCGTTTATTCATTAATCCATTTATTCATTTTTAAATTTTATTTATTTATTGGGAGTTGGGGTTGGAGGTTGAGGGTATCACTCGTACAGAGATTAGGGGATGTACGGACAGTAAACAGATCTAATGTCTTTTGTGTGCAGCAACCGAATAACCACTGTACCACTGATGCCGGTCAAACCAAATTTCTTGTCCTAGCCATTTTCATCAAGTGTTCTATCCCATGGGTGGTTGGCGGGTGCAGCTGCTCTAGTGCGGTTAGCTCCTTCTTTCTATCAAACATGTATCTCCCTTATCTCTCCTCCTTCTTTTCTGTGTATGTTACTTTTTGGTAACAGCTCTTATCTTCGGCACTGATATGATCAATTTCAGTTGCAAGCGAAGTAAATCTCTCACTTGAATTTAAAAATAAACTAAACTGAACTCTCAGTTTTTCTCCTTGTCAAATAGTGATGTTGTAGTTGTGGAAAATGTACGAGGTTTTGTCTTTTCAAACTGCGAGGTCTTGAGAAATAACGAGAAGGGCGAGCTGATAAAGGAAGTTAGATTCTGTAATTTGAATTTCAATTGTTAAACCTGAAACTATTACAGGGCTCCGAACTTTCACGAACACATATAATGATACAGCGCTCACTCCTCCCCGTTCCACAAACACACGCACCCATAAATACAGGTGTGCGTGCGTGCAACATACACTAACATATACCCACAAACACACTCACACACAACCAGATACACTTACATACAACCCTTCCACATCCCACTCATAAACATAGAGATAGATAGATGGAGAGAGAGAGTGTGTGTGTGTGTGTGTGTGTGTGTGAGAGAGAGAGAGAGAGAGAGAGAGAGAGAGAGAGAGAGAGAGAGAGAGAGAGAGAGAGAAAGAGAGATAGAGAGAGAGAGAGAGAGAGAGAGAGAGAGAGGGGGGTGAGGGAGAGGGAGAAAAGGGAAAGATAATGGAAAGCTATAGAGGGAAAGAAATGCGAACAAAAATTGTAACAAGGTATAAAAAAGGCTTATGAAATATTGACAGAAAAAATTATTAACAGAGAAGAAAAAGAGATACAAGGAAGAAGAATCGTAATGGACAAGGGACGCTAACGATATTAATTTGTCCTCAGTTTTTGAGAAAGCCATGGCACAAAAATCACTTTTGAATGACAAGCGACACTCAATAATTTGACAATAATATGTAATTGGCCGTGCATTGGACATAGTTTTCTTCGAGTTTGCTTGATTACGTTTAATTTAGCACCCCTCTTCATCTTCGATGAGCAAGTGAGAGTTTTAATGGTTCTTTTGTGTGGTTTTCCCCTTCTTTATTCTAAGGAAACATCTTTCGTCCTTTTCTTTCCTACTTCTCTTTTGTGTTTGTTACTCTCCTATAACACATCTAATCTTCGACATTTATATGATCTTGTTGTGTTGAAAGTGCTGTAAAACTTTTGCTAAAACGAGGAACAAGAAAAGGAGGAGAGAGATATAGATAATCGGATAATATTATATAATAATATTATAGATACTGTCTACAGTAAATTAGTGGCGTAACTCTCGGAACGACTGGATGTTATCATGTAGTAGGCCTATACTACAACATTTCTTTGAAAGTAATGTCAATCGATGGTAAAGGTGGAACCGAGGCAGATGTTAAAGCAAGAACCGCCAAGGCAAGGTCAGCCTTCAAGCAATTATCAAAAGTCTGGAAAGCAAGCAACATCTCACTGCGCACCAAGATTCGACTTTTTAACTCCATCGTCAAGTCTGTGCTCCTCTACGGCTGCGAAACTTGGAAGACAACGAAGACAGTACTGAATAAAGTCCAGACTTTCATCAACAGATGTATGAGGAGTATTCTAAGAATTAAGTGGCAGGATAGAATAAGACATGAAGAGCTGTGGGAAAGGACAGGACAAAAGGATATAGAAGTAGAAATAGGGCTAAGAAAGTGGCTATGGATGGGACACACCTTAAGAAAGCCCAGCGGAAACATCACAAGACAGTCACTGCAGTGGAACCCACAAGGAGCACGAGGCAGGGGTAGGCCACGGGAAACATGGAGGAGATGCGTGGAAAGGGACATGAGAGAAATGAAGCTCACTTGGAACGAGCTTGGAAGGATGGCTCAGGACAGAGATAAAGGGAAGGAGCTTGTATGTGACCTATACCCTGCCAGGGGTGAAAGGCATTGATGATGATGGTGAAATGTCAATTTCTGACTCAAGTCCAAGCTCTTTGCTGTTACACAGGAGTTCAGTTCGCGAGATGGGATTAGACTAATTAATTCCATTAATTAATTAATTATTCATTAATTTTAAATAAGACATTTCTCTGGCTGGCATATCATTTCCTGTCATAATTCAAGTTGCAATCATTTACTCTCTCTCAGATTCTGTATGAAATAATTTGCACTGATTTTATTTTCAAACGTGGGACCATATTTTTTCTGTGTACGAGTGTGAGAAAAAGATTTGCAAATAAAATAACTGCATCTATCTATCTATCTATCTATCTATCTATCTATCTATCTATCTAATTATCTATCTATCTATCTATCTATCTATCTATCTATCTATCTATCTATCTATCTATCTATCTGTCTGTCTGTCTGTCTGTCTGTCTGTCTGTCTGTCTGTCTGTCTGTCTATCTATCTATCTGTCTGTCTGTCTGTCTGTCTGTCTGTCTGTCTGTCTTTCAACATGTACGTACACGTCTATATTTTGATATGGAGATGTCTAATATTCGTGAAATTGCTGCACACGAAACTCCCTCTCAAATGGCTCGGTTTGCAGCCCCGAATTACAAAGCTCCCTCATGTACGTATTATGGATGGGGAGGGCTTCTATCCCGACAAGTCTGGTGCGAAATTCGCATTTTTAAGAAGGCAATTTGCCAGGGAGGGCAAAAAGCGAGCGTTTAAATCGCGCTGCACACTTTGAATGAGTGCGTCGTTCGCATTTCTATCCACACACTTCTTTCTACAGCAAAAACCATGGCTTTATCCCACAATCTCTCTTTCTCTTTCTCTCTGTCTCTCTGTTTCTCTGTCTCTCTGTCTCTCTGTCTCTGTCTATCTCTCTGTCTCTCTCTCTCTCTCTCTCTCTCTCTCTCTCCACCTTTTATTTCCATGTCTCTATCTCTGTCTTTGTCTATCCTCTCTCTCTCTATCTGTCTGTCTGTCAGTCTGTCTCTCTCTCTGTCTCTCTCTCTCTCTCTCTCTCTCTCTCTCTCTCTCTCTTTCTCTTGCCGCCTCTCTTCTCTGTCTCTATCTCTCTTTCTCTCTAACTCTTGCGATCTCTCTCTCCCCTCCTCTCCATTCCATCCGGCTCGCCCCCTCTCTTTTCCCATCTTTCCAACAATCTCTCTCTTTCTCTCTCGCCCCTTCTTTTTCTCTCCTCCTCCTCTCCCTTTCTTTCTCTCCCCCTCTTTCCTCCTGTCTATAGATCTCTTTCTCCCGTCCCCCCCCCCTCTCTCTCTCTCTCTCTCTCTCTCTCCTCTCTCTCTCTCTCTCTCTCTCTCGCGTTTCTCTCTATCT